GCCCCCCAGCTATGAATTTGCATGTGATCCTCGAGTTTCAAAACTGTTCCCAGTGAAATCTGTTTCGGCTTTCGGTGTTACGTACACTTTTTCATCTTCGTTCCGCGCGTTTCTAAGTGTACGAAATTTCAGTTTTAATGAGCTTTCCCGAACTATCCTTGGTTCTTATTTAGCGCGAATGCTTTAGACACAGCAAAGAAATCTCTGCGGACCCGACTTGTTATTATTTATGAGTACGTAACGCTCGAGGATTTTCGTAAAAAATGTATGTCTACAAGCCGCCCTAAATTTCAAATAACAGGACGTCACAGTGTATCCCCTTTAAACCTGATTTTACCGTAGCATGGCGCTCGTATACTTGAAACTTTAAAGAACAGCATAAACACAACACTATCTACTTGTCTCCATTATTTCTGTCCTCCCTTCGCTTGAGAACAGTTTCGCCAGAGTCTCTTCTATCTCTTTGTGGCTTAATGTTGCGATGCTGCGTTCACTTCGGAGGGGAGTATCGTCCAGACAAATATTTTCATTCGTGTAAACGTTTAAATTAATAAAGAACACGAATCTGGGGAAATAATATCTAGGGATATATTCTGACTAATTTATCATAAAATATCTACTGATACGCTGTATATAATACAAGATAGAGTAACCAATTTATAGGCTCGATAATGTAGAGTACTCGATACTAGAAATTGTCCTGTTGATAATGCAGATGTCGATAAATTCTTCGATCAGAGTTCTACATTACCGAGTTTTACCAACAGAGTCCACTGTATTACCGACAGAGCACTCTACCTTACCAAGGGTTTCCTTTTTTCTCTCTGCACATGGTAAGATCGTTAAAATATACAAATTTTGTTAATAAATTAAGAAAATAGTTGACGTGTACGAACTTTGTTTAACGAGAACAAATTACTTACGACATCGTTTTTCTTGCGTATGCTTCGTTTCACCTTTAAAGCGAATTCGCATCTCTTCCTTTCAGTCGGAAACCAAATAATTTCTTTCGCGTGAATTCATTCCTCCCGTTTAATACACTCACCACTGTATTACCGAAACTCATAATTTATTCAAAGGACAATTGAAGTCGCCATTATTAAACGAAGTCGCGTTTCACAAACGCAAGTTTCGACGGGAGTTCTCGCGCTAAAGAGAGTCCAAAAAGTACGATTCGCAAGCTCAATCGACTTTCAGCGACAGGAACCCAACGAACGCTGCTGCTGGAAGTTCCAATACGAATATTAGAATAGAATGCTAGAATCTACTTTTAGAAACTGATCTAACGCTAAGTACAGGTTCTAATCTCCCTGCTCGAGATGTTCTTGCGAGCCATTTGGAGGCGAGGAAACTTCCTCCGAGTTCTAATTATAATTCTGCAGCGTCCTAGTCCCGAACGAGTTAATTGCAAATACTGTAAAACTTTGCATAATTTACTCATGATATCGTCTCATGCTGTGACGTTGTCTCGAACAGTAAATAATTCATGAATATATCAAGTTATTTACCCAAGAATAAAATAAAATTCACGGAACGCGAAGTACGTCATAATCACTCGATCGTCTCACTTCCTAACGAAGAAGGCTCGTCCGCTTTATTTTTACCAACGAAGCCTGGACGATCGATCAATTAAATAATTCACAATCTCCGCGAGAGAGTGAATTTACGAAGAAATCGTCCAGACATCGTCGACGGAGCTTTTTTTGTCGCGTCGCGTGCAACGAAGTCGATGCAAACTACTTTCGTTTAACGGGATCGGGTCCAGGGTGTCGTTTCCTTCGTTGCGTCGTTTCCGAGGCGATTCATTTGCTCTGTCGAGGGTGGAACGTACAAAAACGAACAAGCACGAGAACCGGGAGAGCGAAAAGAGGATTCTGAGGATTTTACCCTTGGACGCGGCTAATGACACCTCCACGTGTGTCCTCGCTTTAAACTGGAAGGGAGAGTCGCGTGTGGGTGCGCGTCTACGCGGCTCTCAGACACGAGACGAGAATTGTGGAAGTGATCTTCAGCTGGATAGCCGGGGCTTTTTTTGCGAACCAGCGAGGACGCTACAATCGCGAACAGCTTGGCGATCCTTTTGATACGCGTGCACGGCTTTTTGCGGGAATTGAAATGACAGGAAGGGGTTGGAGACGAGAAAGTGAGCAACGTGCTGTGTCAAATGGGGAGTCTTTAAACCTGGGAGTGTACTTTAAACTGGGAGTGTACTTTTAACAGGACTCGTGGCAACTAATCGTTTCTCGTGGAAGGATATCTGAATTAAGAGGATAGATTTTATTAGCTCGAGTTAATAAAGGATTTCTCAAAAGGACCTTCAGGATCTTATTTCTTTTTGGTAAGGCAGAAGTTGTGTAGGATACAGGGTAGATATTATTTTGAGGTGGTAAAGTAAGACACAAATATCAGCTTGAGGTAATAAAAAATGTTTCAAATGGAGCTTCAGCATTTTATTTCTTCTTGGTAAGACAAAAGTGGTGTGAAATTTAGATAGATATCATCCTGGGATAAGAAAGAATTTTACAAAAAGAGCTTCAAGGTTTTTAATAATACAGAAACGGTATAGAATAATTTTTGTGATTTTGAGTGATAGTCTACATGATTAGAATAAAATCATCACGAATTCACTGACAAGAGGATTTTGTTGTTAAGAAATAAAATCCTAGAGGCCCTTGTGGAGAACCTCTTAGTTTCCTTTGACCCCTTCAGCTACCCCATTTATTTTAAAGCTAGGGACACAAATTGCTACTATATTTCACGTCCTCGTAATGGAGCTACCATACTCCTGTAAGCATCCACCTACGAAAAGCTGAAATTGAAAGCAATGTGCACAACGTTCCGACACGAGAGCAATCTTATACACGGATTAGCACTACGATTCGGAATTGTAATTTCAAGATTTCTTAATTATATTGGATGACGTGGAAATATATTGTTTGTCCTTGAATCCAGATTATTACCAATCGCATAAGCGCGTTTCCGAGAGAGTATTTTAAGTAGAAAGGCATATCTTCGTACGTCTTTGACACATTCACGATTTCTGCTCGGTCTACATTTTTATAGTACATCTCCATGCCCTCGACAGTTTCACGCACGTCGCTCGTCCAACTATCCGAAATGTTTTCACGCGATTCCGCCATTAGGGCACCACGTGAGTTGAATCGACTACTTTTGATAGATCCGAAGTGGGTTCGTTCGGAAGATGTTCGGCCAGCGTAATCCAGTTAGAAGTCGGAAGCCGATTAATTCTCGAGATCGCGGGGTCTCGCTTAATGAAATTATCGGCTCCGAAGTGGCTCGCAAAATTGTCACGACTGTTACTGCTAACGCCCCGGTGGAAGCGTCGGGATCGGTTCCCTCCCACGCGGATTGGCGGATGATTTGCGGTGGTAATGAACATTTCAATCGGCGACACCGGTGCATTCAACCCCGGAGCAGCGCGATTTGGCGCGGCTCCAAAGCCATTAAAGCACGTCTTATGGCCTTTTTGCCTGGCCTTGTCTCGGCGCACTTTTGTTTGGTCGCATGATAACAATGGGACGATGGAAAATAACGAGAGAGGTCTCGCGCCAGCGCGGCCGTGCGCTGGCCGCGGACGCGAGATCGGACGTCTCGAGACCGAATTAAAAACCTCGAGTGTATCAAACGGGGGTGGAAGGTGAAAAAATGTAGCGGCGCGAACGTTCCCCCGCTCGTTGGTTTTAATTAATTCGAAGTTAAAGCCAACGCATCTTCGCCGCCCGTGGCTTTATTAATTTCGACAGAGTCGCGGGCACGTTTCCATTTAGACCTCTCGCGGCGGTGAATGTTCGAATGGAATTTTCCTAGGCGGCGGTACCGAGTTCGTTAGATTATTAATGACAGAAACTGCGCTAGTCGGGGGTGTTTAGAAGTGGGTTGCTTTCACTAAACGAGGTTTAGAGTTGACGAGGATGCAGTGGTGCGGTTAGCCGTGGGTGTATTTGTTTAAAATTGTTCGGAAATGAAAGGAAAATGGTAAATAATTACGGCAGGTTTTTCGTTGCAATAATTTAATACGAAACACGCGTTATATTTTACAATGTAACGGTAAGTTCTGAAACGTAGCTGAAGTATTATCAAATTACGAAGGAACAACAAACAGTACATTCAGAGAAAGAATGAACGCTATCTAAATCGATATTTGTTCCTATAATAAAAAATATAATTCAGAAGCATACGATCTACCAATTAAAGATTCAAGATCGATGATTATCGTCTAATAGTCGAATAAAAATATTATTCACATAAATTTGTACCTTCCAAAGAAATCGTTTAATAAATTTCACCGCGACTTGTCCACCGTCTGACTTTTACCGGATGTTTCTACTTCAGCGCGACTTGTTACTTGTTCCCTAACGTGTTCGTCCATTGCTCGCTAATTCTACTCGCATTCGTAAACTTTGTAAACCCCGATGGTACGTTAGGATATTATCTGTTTTCCCTCTGTATTACTATCTTCCAACTAGTTAGAACTAGTTTAAACAGATAATACTACACTGCTGTCAATAATTACGAACTTCAACGCGAGTAGAAACAACGAATAATGGTCAGACGCGTTAGCAAAGTTGCGCGGAATTCCACGTATACCTGACGAGTTTTCTAAATCGGTTTTTTTTTTCTGCAAATAAGTGAAAGCTTGCATCAACAAATTTTTCATCGTAATTTCCAGACACTTTTTCTGAAACCCTCTCGTCTGTATAATCGCGAATAAAGAAAAGTACTTACAATTATCTTTCGTAGAAATAAATTTAATTTCGTGCCTAACCTTTTTCTTACTGTTTAACTTGACTTACTTACTTAATTTATGTGGTTTCCATGAACATTTCTAAAACGAAACAATTCTCCCTGTTTGTTAAGAGCAAGTTGCAAGTTGCAAAGAAAACAAAATCTTCAATTATTATTTACTTTTCTATCGTTCGTAATAAATTTTTACATTTTTAGCTGTACTATGTATGAATTCTGAATTTCATTTGTTACAGATAAAGCACCTTCCGAGGCTTCTTTCAGAGGAACGGAGTACCTCACGATAGATTTGAGCAAGGGGAATCCAGTTCTCAGCACCCACGAATCCATCATTTTGCAATTCAAAACGAGACAGCATAGCGGACTTCTGTTTTACTCCGGTAAGTTTATTAACAACTCACGAATTAAAGAAACAAAGTGCGAAGTCATTATCCAAACTAATTCAGCCAACTCAATTTTAGTTGTATTTTGATTTCATCCGACGCTTTATCTTCGTGTTTTTTTTTTCATTCCTCTATATTTCGCATCATTTAATTTCCTTTCAATCGCAACACTAACAAATTAAAAAAAAAAAAAAAAAAACGTACCTCGTTCCAGAGTAGAAAATTATAATCCATTAACAACTTCGAACCCCATCGTAACCGTCGCTGGAAATCGTTCCCGAACGAGAGGGGAACAACGTTTCCTGTTTCACTCATTAAAAATGAATTAATTCGTGGTCGCAGACTGTGCTGGTATCGACCGAACGAAGGCCACGCGTGTAAATTTTTTCGACGAGAGAAAAAATAAAACCTGTTCCATAATGTGGTCGTCTAAATTTCCACCGTGCACGTCTGCATCCATGAATTTCGTTCGCATCGCGCCTCCGAAATCTTCCCGCCGGGTTTTCGTATAAATTAAATATACATAGAACTACCAAAATATTCGCGTCGGTCGCATTGCAGTCGCGGCTTCTTACGACCTCTCAGGCTTCTGTGCAGCCAAAGACACGCCGGGTAAAAACTGAGCACGCCCTAGTATTCCGTAAATTGCTTTAAAACTGCAGATGGTCCTGACCACTCGTCGAATCGTGCCTGGAAAAGGCAAAAGTTTCATTTTACAGCGCAACGTTCTGTTACCGAACCGAGACCGAAACAAGACGAACCCACTGGCCTGGACGTTAAATGAAATATTTCGTTCGAATCCCTTATGAATTCCAGTAACGAGCCAGCTAAGAATTCCTCGACTGTTTCACTGTACAGGGCGTGCCACTTAATTTGAGGGTCCAGAGGTGAGGTGTGAATAATTTCAGGCAAAAAGGTGTGGTTACTTGGGAATTTTTCCTGGGCATAGGGAAAGTCCGGTATTAAAACTTGTATGTATATTTTTTAAACGACTATATTTTATAATATTTTATATATTCTAATATTTTTTATATTTCGTATAGTTTTTCTTAATTTCCGTGTGAAAATGTTTATTTACATAGGAAATATAAATACACGTTCACGTACCTATGCATATGTTTCTATTTGGAAGTTGATTTATATTACTTTAGAGACTTCTACGTTTATATATTTATTATGAATCGTAAACTTTCCTTTAGTATTGTCAGTTTACATTTATATCGGTCATTCGAAATTGACGCTCATCTTTTAGATTTTCATGCTCGTTGATGTGTTAAATAAAAGAGAAACGAAGCCAATTTCCACAACTTGGCGCTGCCATCTATATTTACAACGACGTTCCGTTGTTTGTTGCATCAATCCTCGCGTTTCATTTATTTCCATCGTTAATTATATACCAAAAGAGTAAACTGAACAACCCTTCCAGGACAACGATTCCTGGCCCTCGACATCCACCATTTATTTAACTGAGAACGAAGGACCAGCACGTCGAGAAGAGTTTAGGTTCGTTTTGGGCGCCAAAGCATTCCGATTGGCTATATCACTAGACCCGAGCAAGGAATCCCGTTTAATATAGGGGTATTGTTTGAGAGGAGCATTGTCTGCTTGTGGCCCTCAAAAGGTAGCTAGGAACTCGTGATTTACTCCGTGAAATTCAACTCCGCGAGGAGGAGGGGACACTCTCCAAGCGGTTATATCCTTCAAGGGCTGTGGCGGAATGGCTTTGTTCGATTGTACGAGATGATTGCTAATCGTTAACCCCGGCCTTATGTTTATTTGATTCATGGTCCTTTGTACGATAATTAAAAGCCGACGTCCGTGAAATATTGAGGAATTCAACCATTAAACTCGATGATAACCAGTGACTTATTAGCACTGATTTTGACACTTTCACGTTGGGACCATTGGATTTTGCCCACGAAATACTGGGCATAACTTGACAATTTCTATTCTTGCATGGCGATCGAAGTTTCTCACATACGTTGGCCCGTAACACTTAAACTATTGAACCGATTTGAAGTTAACGTTAGAAGCGATTGTTGGAAATTCGATTACCTTTAATATGACATCTCGCGCGACTCGGTCGAATGTTCCTAACTCTAGATATGGCCTGAAATGTGAAGGTATCTCGAAATCCTATGTGTCTTTCAACAATTCCTTTTATATATTATATTTTATATATTCATTTTATATTTTCGTAATCGCTAGACCACGGATTTTATGCTTTTCTGGTACAAACCAAGATGATAAATACATGCTAAGACAAAAGGTATGCGCACTTATGCGAAATGAAATAACAATATTATTATATTAATTGTAGCACGTATTCGACATTCATTGCGCATACTTTTGGCAAAATTCCTATAGTACGTCGCAAAATGAAATCCGCAGTCTATCACCTTTTCTCCAGAAATAATAACTGCACCCACTCACAACGTACCCGTTAAATTGATAACCGTGATATCCAGTTTGCCCTAGCTCGCCCTAAGCCATCTCCACCTTTCGATCGGCATTCACTGTCCCGCGCACTTCCTCTATCCCGTTATAGAATCACGCTAAGCACCGTTGCCTTTATTCCCGCGCTACAGAGGACGCGTTAATCTCAAAGCGGGAACGACCGTGATTCATCCCGTCGAAGAGCTGCTGGATGGTCGCGCGGTGCTCAGCCAATATCTCAGCTTTCGAAACCAATAATTAGCACCGCGGACCAGCTACCTGTGGTTTCTTATCTACGTCAATCCCAAAGGAACTCCGCCCGCCCGATATCGTATCGTATCTCTCTGCCACCAGGACTTCGTTCCGAGGGAACGAATTCGAATCGGATATAATATCTCACACGTGATCTCCAGACGCTCATTAACGGGATGCCAACGGACAAATGGGAGGAAATAAACGCGACCTGGCAAGTCGCTCGGGAAAAATCGAGCTGACGGTAATTGCGATCGCGATCGACGCGACGCAGCACGTGTGCTGACATTTCTATACGAATCGTTGTTCCGAGAGGGTCGCGATTATTGGAAATAACGTGGACCCGGGACCGGCTTCGAACGATCAAACGATAACCTTAGACGTCGTCAATGGCTCGTTTCTACACGACAAAATTTAAAGTGGATGTGCACGGTACGTTCGTTTTTATTCTCTGCGGTATGAATGTTTTTTATTGTTTGAAGGAGTCGTTTCTTGGTTATTCCGGAGCTGTTATGTAGTTATCTTCTTAAAGGAACGTCGTGTGTATGTTCCGTGAAAGGAGGATGCTCAGAAATGGCCATTATTCGACCGGCTTAGAAACGATAAATTCATGCTGGGATCATTGAGCGACAAATTTCTATATCTTCTCTCGAATTTTATTTCACGATTTCGTCGTAGTTATTGCCTGGCCTTTATTTCCCCGATTTATTATCGAAATACACCCGACGTAGACAGAATGATAAAGAGAAAATAAAATTTGGAAAATTCCAAAAACACTCGTTCGTCCAATTATCGACTGATTCTTGAAAGGTCTGTTAAAATCAACACCTTGCGGAAGATCTCTGCTTCTGTCCGTCCAAGAAACTCCATGTTGTCGTCGAAGCTCTTTTAGGCGAACCCTAAAGATTTCGGTGGCGAAACGGTTTCGACGCAGGCATATTTAACGAACAACGGCGCAACGCGCGGCGTAGCCGAGGTCACGAGCTTAAACTGGCGAAACTAGCGGAAGCGAAACAGCCGGATAAAAAACGTAAGTAGAACAGTGGAAAAAATGGGGATGCCAGGAAGGAACGAGATGGCTGGGAGAGGATTGCACTTTCAGAGGGAGCGCGCACGCGGCGAGCAAGGGCGTGCTGTTCATTACGCAGAAAATTTATACGAGCCAATGGAGCGGTTCGTTTATATTTCCCCGTTCTTTCATCCAGGATGCAGGTGTTGCCGAGGAGAATCGTTGAAATTCCTTTCTCGCCGGTCGCATCTCACCGTGGTTTATTAGTTCCGCTTGTTTATCGTCTTTTGCGAACGACGAAAAATTATCACGCGAAGATAACCAGAATTGTCACATTTTTAATGAACAGCTTCGTTACGGTACAGATTATGTAACCCGTCGATTCAGATTTTATTTTGCCATCAAACTCGAAGTCTGGTTGAGGTCTGTCTGTATTTTTCCTTGGTTAGTTTTCCTTGGTTAGTTTTCCTTGGTTAGTTTAGAGATCCGATTAGTTGGAGTGAAGTTGGAGTGATTAAAATCGGAAAAACAAATGACGTAACAGGAGGCACAGAATTTTCAAAATTCATTTTCGTGATGTATTATTATACAGTCAGTGCAATAAGTACTCGTACAGGAACCATTTATTTCAAATGGGTTGCTGTACGAATATTTCTTACACTGATTGTATACAGAAAATGGATATGAAAGCATCTACGCAAAACTATACCACGCGGGATAAATGTTGAATATGGATTTCTGTGAATAAATACACCTCGAATTTAATGCACATCGCAACGATTGTCGCCCAAAGGATCTTCCCCGATACATACAGACGTATCTTCGCAGTTCTCGTAGGTTTTTTTTTTATCTTTTCGTATATTTTATTTGGCCCTTGCATTTGAAGGCTTGATGCGCGTCATGGATTACCATAAATGAATAAACGCTGAATTTTAACGTCAGCGCACCGCCAATCGTACCGTCGACGTGTCAGCTTTCGTTGTTCCGCGATAAAGCTTTACATCTCCCTCGAATTTCAATTCGATTCGCTGTGCATCGTGGCGTTATTGTGAGTGGAGACTTGGCTGAAAATTGAAAATTGGAGAAGTGGTTCGAACTCCTCCAGGAAACGATCGGGAAGAATCACCGAAATGAGAATAATTTTGTAGGAACAAAGCGAAAGCTTGCTTTCTAGACAAACCCAAAAGGAAATTTAATTGGACTGTTACTAAAAATGTCACCGTTGAATCGAATAAACGTAACAAACGAATACATTGCCCATACTCGTTATTTATTATTGCAACAGGTTTCGCTCATTTCTGTATTGCGTTACATATTTGTTGCTTACACGAAGGTAGTCGTGAAATCGAGTATGGGAGAGTCATCGATTCATCGAATAGGCTGTATCGCGCGCTACAATTCCGTAAGCTATTGTTCTATATGGAAACTCTCTTGTTACTAATGAATATTCGCTATTTATCTTTGTTACTCTTCGTTATCTGTCACAGTTATTTATTTTACGGCGAAACAGTTTCCACTCTGAAATGCGAGCAATTTGTTCGAAACGTATGAAGTATTGTACATTATCTCCGCCATTTACGCTGTCTCTATAAAGTTACGTTATACACCGCGCGGACAGCTAATATTTTTTGTAAACGCGTGTTATACATCTAGAGTTTATAGTTTCGACGGAGAAGCAAATTCTCCGTGTCTTTGCTGCACGTTAGGTTCCCTCTGATGGTATTATACCTAGCTTGAAATTAAAAAAGTAACGATAACGTAAAACGGAACTTGCGGTCAAGAACGAACTGTGTACTATTATTTTACGTAAATTATTCTCGTTTTCTTCGTTGTTCAAAGTTAATTACGCTCCTCGCTAAACGCTGCGTCAGAATGCGCAAATTTTTATTCCTTCTTCTTTCTTTTGTGCCGAGGATGGTAAGAAGAAAGGAAGCAAACATACGTTTAGTATACGAGAATTTTAAATCTACTATATTTTGATACTGGAAGGAAAGAAAATTTCTGCAAGGAGGTGCAGTGTTTGCAAGCAGCGGTGCAATTAAATTTTTTTTTTTTTTTTTTTTTTTTTTTTGGTTATTCCAGTGACCGAGTTTTCTCGTTATTTCTGTAAAATTACGTTTATTTCTCCCATTTCTTTCATATTATCGTACGTTTGTTTCCTTTTTTTTAATTCAACAATTTTTTGCTAACTGAAATATACTACATTTACAGAGTGTGTAAATACTTTATGTATAATACGTATACATTCGTTCGATTTATAAATGTAAACCGTATTTTAGATTCTACTAAATAACGATGTGATACGAACGACAGTTTCTACGATTTATTTTGTCGTGTTAATAAAAAAGAAAATTTATAACGCGTCTCGCGATTGACTAGAGAAATCGAGGAAAGGATTAGGTCTTCGGAGGACGCGTATAAATCGTTTGTATCCGCTTACCGTTAGTTTCGGTGTCTTTAGTTTCTTGCGTGGTTGGCGAACTCGCTAAAACGACCGAGCCCGTCGTTAATAATTATCGTGGCGACCTAACCGAAAAGCCCCGCGGATTATGTCGGTATATTGCCAAGCTCGACACTAGCCAAGGGATTAAGACGCGCTAAATGACACTTTATCTTTATTGTTTTTAACGGAAGATGACTGCTACCGCGTATTTTGTAAATCGTGATCGAGTTACGTTGAAATTATCTATCCTGAATTTTAACCTCCTCGGAACTGGTGTACGTTGTACGTGGATTTTGGGATTTGAATGCGTGTTAATAGAATTGAATAGAATGGAATAAAAAAATGTCACCTCCATTCCAAGATTTTTTACACATAATAAATATCAGAATATAATATTTTTTCTATATAAACAATCGAAGAATATAGAGTAGTTACTTCAATATCCTGGTGTAATAAATTAGTTTTCATTATAACTTTCCGATATTGTCTGCGAAGAAGCGATTACCTCTTTACTTAGTACCTTCATTAAACGAATGGAAGTTAACTACGTGATTAACTTTTCATTACATTTAATCATCAAACTCGGACACGTCTTGTTGCGATAGCGGACGATGAGAAGCATAGTTAAACCTCCGTTTCGAAATGAAAAAATGTCCGGAATCGTTTCTAAAAGCTTGATGTAACAAACCAGGAAAGCCAGAGATATAATTTAAAAGTTGCAGCTTAATTAACGCGGCAAGTAACATGGTTTTTTCTCCCTGTGTCGTTTCAGGAGACAGAGATGATTATCTGACTGTGTCTCTGAAGGACGGCGGTGCCGCTGTGGGGATGACGTTGGCCAAAGGAAGATTAGATCTTCATATAAAGCCAACCAGAGTACGGTTCGACGATAATCAGTGGCACAAGATCATCGTGCACAGGAAGGTCCAGGAGGTAAGAGATCTGATCCATTTCGTTCTGTGTCACGGCAAACAATTAGTGTAAAATAACCAGGGCTGAATCGATAGATCTCAATCGTTCTAAGCAACCAATTTAGGTTACCAGGCATTTTAGAATAATATAGGCTCGATCGTATAATTAAAATTGTGACTTTTGTATTCCACGTAAACAAAGAATATTTCAGAATTTATTATTTTTAACACTCCGCGTGACGTAACGAAAATAACGTGATATAAATGTAAGTTAACTTTTGAGAATTTTTTGGACGAAAAATATGAAACGTAGAGATTCGTGTAAGATATTCAAATTGTATACGATTATTCAATTGCTTGTTTAAAGTATTTCGTGCAAATGTGTAGTATTAATATCGGACTGTTTCATTATTTTTAAATATTATGTTAACGATCAGAGAATTTTTATTAAAGATTATTGAATTGCTTGTTTAAAGTATTTCTTGCAAATGTGTAGTATTAATATCGGACTGTTTCATTATTTTTAAATATTATGTTAACGATCAGAGAATTTTTATTAAAGGTTATAACCTTGGCCTTCAGAAGTTCAGGCCGACCGTTTAGAATTATTTACGCGAGAAGGTTACATAAAATATCCAAATTTTATTCCTTAACCGGCCTGCTTGATTATAACGTCTCTTGAAAAGTGTGTAATTGGAACACTGCATACTTTAATTACTTTTAAATACCGCATCGATAGCACGAAAATATATTCAGTAATTAAGATACCCTGAATACCGGTTTAATTCATTTAAATTGTGCACTTACCTCAACATTTCGACCCACATTCAAGTTCTCTTCGAGACTATAAACGAGGTCGAGAAAAGCAAACTTCTGGATTACCTCTTAGACATATAATAAATCATACTAACAACATGGAAGATAGAATAAAAATTGAAAATGACGGCGTGGTTACGACTGAATTCGTTCCGCAAACAGCTTCATATTTTCTGCTTCACGACGAATAATTAGCGTAAAATAATCGGGGACGACTGGATCGACTGTTTGCAATCGTTCCGTACAAGCACAGCCGGTCGCCACTCCTATGTAATTTTATACATTCGACTTGGATACGCTTTTATCGTCAAAGAGCCCGTTCCTTTTCACATTTGCCCTCGTAAAGGGGGATGAATATTTTGAATCCTTCGACGTACGCGCCCAACCTTTACTTGTTTTATTCAGGAATGGGGGGGGGAGTAATAGGCTCCTCTTGCTCCCGTCGTTTATCGAACGACATTTTTTAATAATAAATCTCGCGATAAGTAGAGGGCTTAACGCGTTTGAAGAGCCAGGTGACTTTATCCTAGACTTTTAAGCAAAAGTAAGGAAAATTCGTATCTAGTATTACTAAAAATAATTTTAATTATTTATTTAAATTCATTAAATGATAAACAATTGTGTAGACGTTACTTATTCTTGTACTTTTATTATGTTTAAATACCGCACCAGCAATAGAAAAGTATATTCCTTAATTAGAGTTTGAAAAACTTTCGTTATTTTCGCTGGTATATCGGTAGTACAAAAGTATATTCATTAGAGTAGTTGGAACTAGTTTTATGCATCTGAAATTACGCAGTGTTCTCGTCACTTCGACCTATATTCGAGTCCACTTTAGATAAAAATTTTAGTTTCAGAATAAAATACGCGTTAACACAGATAGATTTCACTAATAAATAATCGTCCATTATTTTTATTCGTTATCCACGTTTCGAAATACAATCTTACTCGCCTCTGCCTACGAATAACGCTTCTCGAACTTTGGACTACCTTCGTCTGGGAAGCTTCCTTCCAACCACTATCGCAGCAATAAAAATCCAAATTACGCAAAAAGAAAAACGCGACGAAGGACGAAAACGGGCAAAGTAAATAGGAGCCAGAAATAAATTTGATTCAACAACTCACGGAGTATTTATAAACAGAGATACGAGCTTGGTTTACTGTTATTAATTCCCGATACTGTCGTTCCATGTTTGCAATTTGTTTAATCCAAAAGGCCTTCAATTTTAATCCTCGGTAATAAGTACTTGTAGTCTCACGAAACATTAATGGACGCCTCGTGAAGCATTAACGGCATCGTTGTTGTCGTATGTCGAATACATACCTCTTTGATCATCCCTTTAGGACGTCGTGGACCACGCGAAACTTGTTCCGTGTTTGCGCATAGAGAAAACAATGTCAACGGATGGCTCCGACGCCAGTTTAAGGGCTTGCGGGAATCGAAATATTTTCCGATAACTGTCGCGTTTCTTACGCGCGGTTACGTTGCCACTGGTAATTGAAAATACGTCAATACTTATCGCTGGCGAGCGCGCTCGTTAAATTTTATTGTAAACGGCCTTCTGCCTCGACGAGGACTTTATCGATACTGGCCAACCTCTGCACCTTTATCGAATGCAATCGTACGGCGGGAGAGTTACGTGTATGCATATTCCCACCTTTTCTTTTATATTTATGCCTGCTTTGCTTTCTCGTTTCCTCTCTTTTACGTTCAACGTCGAATTGAAGACAGTTCGGCGTGAATTAGCTTCGCGTATTTTCTGCTTGTCGATATTTTCGATAAACACGAAGGTTTTCCCAGGAAACATTTAACATTGACGTAGTAACACGTGGACAAGATTTTGGACGTAAACAGACATTTCTAGATCTGACGATGATCAAAGTTGAAATTTACAAACTTGCAACTTGTAACAAAAGAACGGAAAAGTAATTGTTTTCCTAAGTAAAAACGATAATGGTATTCGACTAATGAGTTCGTATTGAAATTGGGTAGCTGTAAGAAAATTTTGTGTACACAGAAATATTCTTTTTAGCGTTGTTCTCCTTTTTATTAATTAATAAATAATTAATTAATTCGAATACACTCGCTGTATAGTTTCCGATTTCACCAACCTAGACGATATTTTCTGTGGCCAATTGACAAGGCGATACACACGGTAGGAGTCGCAGAGAAATACGGCAAGAGTCATATTGGACATAACAGATGTCTGATCATAGACTGTCCACTACCACTGATTCCACGTATAACCGTTGCTCACGCTACTTCAGTGGTATTGGATGAAATTGCGTCTGACCATAGACCGTCCAGTGCCACTAGCGCAGTATCTGTATCTGGTCCTTTGGACCAGTGTTTCTCAATCAGAGGCCCCAGGTCATGTTTCTTAACAGATAGAGCATTTTGATTCCAAATGAGAAATCATCGAAAGTTCTTTCGTAGGTAATGCTCCCGAATTTGATGATAATTCGATGAATAACAAAGTATACAGTACTACGTTACAAGAATAAAAATTACGATAATTATTTGCACTGTTCAAATAAAATTCTAATGGAATATTAAAAGAAATCTTCGACAGAATATTGAAATAATATCGGAACAGTTATACTATTCTGTATATACTATACTTCTTCCACATTTACATACGCAAGTCCATCGTCAGTTGTGCTCTTTTCACTCACAAACAGTACATGAAACTAGCTTCCCAGCGTTCATTCACCATGGCAAAATAGCTGAGCAACTCCGAAGGGTAGTTTCATCCCTGGAGATGTAGCCATCAGCCGGATAAAGGAAACAAGTACGTTCCTGGCCTTCGCAACCCGAAAAGTTTCACCGAAAATCGGTTACCTTCCACCTCAGTCCCGTCACGAATCCCTCCTCCCCTCCAAATGCATCAAGAACGAAGAACACGAACGGCCCCGAGATATGTCTCCCGCGTTCCCGATCGTGCCAACGAATTTATCCCCGGCTATATTTACTTCTAATTCCTAGCTGGCGTCCAATTAAAATTCTTCAACGGCGCCCGCGGGACACGCGCGAAGGGACTCGATCGGAATTTAAACCGGCGAAATTACGTGTCCGTTGGCGGGAAACGAAAACGAAAACAGAAAACCGGGTATCGGATAACGCGTTCGCTTGAACTCGTGATCGGCGACGCGATAGGATCAATTCAAGGATCGTGAACGCGTGCTGGCGTTAAATCGATAACCTGTGTGTGGCGGTCGTGCGGTGTGCCTGTGACTCTCTCCTCTCCTCCTCCTCCTCCTCTCCTCTCCCCCCCCCCCTCTCCTCTAACCATCACTCTCTCACGTTCTCTCTGTCGCTCCGTCTCTCACTCTGCGATGGCAACGTGTAAATAATTGCATTACCTATCCTACGGCGCGTAATACGCGATGAATGCCGGTGTATACCCAGGACACACTAACGATATTGCCCTCGCGTCCGTTCGCCGATCTATTTGCTTCGGGACACAGCCAATGGAGAACGTACCTGCACCTGGCCTCTGCGTATTCGCGATTTTAGCACAGTTTATACCGAACCGGCCAAGCCGTTTTCGCCATCGATCGCCAGAAAGTTTATTCTTATCGCGACCGCGCAGTAGCCGGCCTAAATGACGTGCAATGGAAGACTGTAAAAGCAGTTCTACGCCATGAAACTATAATTTTGAGAACGGACACATAGTATCGTACACTATCATATTTTCAAAGGTGAGAGGCCACGTCTCAGTCGTAAATCACGCGAATACGCTAATAGAATCAGATAGATCGCGAAAATTATAGGAGAATCTGAATTTCTCCTGTCGCAGTCTCTTATTTAAACGAAATAACATCAATTTATATATCAACCTTGTCAATTCGTTACGTTAAATTTATAAAATAATTTACTAAATACTTTGTGCACGGTAATTCGAACAATTCGATTGAAACGCACTCGTAAGTTCTGAAAATGTCACCACGGGGTTTAATATCGATTCATGAAACCAATAACAGGTTCTTCGAGACTCCAAACGATCACTCTTTAAATCGAAATGTGAACGTCGAGTGACGCTACAGCCTCCAAGATATTCCGAGCAATTCCTAGTTAGAATTCGTAACGAAAGAGCATCGGTCTTTAACTGGTTAGAAAAATAGAAATATCTGAAAGATTTAGAAAGAAGCTGCTGAATTTTCAATTTGAAAATCTCGAGAAACGTCTTGAAACGCGTCTTCGGA